GTTTCTTGTGTGTTTGTTCAATTTCCATTCATCTAGCAGAAAATCCTGGGAGCTACACACGTAATATCAGTCATCTGAGGCCAAAGTCACTAACTGATCATTGAAATGATCAATTTAAGCCCAGTTTGCATGACTGGGCTCTTGCCTCATCCCAAACATCATCCTGCAGGCACAACAGCTCTACAGCAAAAACTGCTTTAGCAAGTTCATTGTACTCACTACTACTGAACTACAAAYAAAGTTGGTAAGAATTTATCCTCTAAAAGTTTGTATTGAAACATGCGGCATCACAGCATCTACAAACACTGTATCTACTTTTATATATGCATTTTTCTTCTAAAAATGTGTTTTGTTTCAAAGATGAACTTTCCTGCTTGGCAYATCTCCAGCATTACAAACTTATTTCTCTAAGATGGGTATTTATTTAGCAGGTTGGCTTGAAGCATTATAGAATATTTTGGTGATATAATTTTTCTTCATCCTACTAAGTTATTTTATCAAGAGAAATATTTGCAGCTTTGTCTTTTAGTCACTTAAGACTGATTTGCTGTTTAATTTAGCTGAATAGACAGTTATTGTCTTTTACAGCTTTTATTTCTTTGGATTTTTAAGAACCACTGGGAAGAATAATTGATATAACATTGCAGCTTCTCCTAACGAGGTTATGCAAATATTACCATCAATAATCCAGAGTTCAGTAGTTTAAAGTAATGATAAAAGCAAGGTGGTCACAAACCATAATTTAATTTGCCCTCTCATTGCCTCCTGACACCTTTTAGACAYTGATAGTCCTGCTGATTGCAAATGAGGGGCAGCTGAATCTCACAGTGCAAAGAGACTCTCCCAAGCACATCAAAGAGCCTTCCATGCAATTCCACTCAAGTAAAATATATTGCTCCCCTTAAAGTTACCCAAATTCCAAGCTAAAATCAGCAGTTTAATGAAAATTTTACATAGCCTTCTAACAGAAAGCAAACTATCACTTGCTATTACTGGAATATATTCCCTCCCCAGCAAGAAAACCATGAAAAATAAATGCATAAATATCACTGTGAGTGATTCTGGCACTATGAGAAAAATMATTTATAAAAATTMTCAACCATACTAGTCAAGAACCAGCACACCTCTATTACCCAAGAATAAAAATCTTTCCACTCTGCCATGGCAACGTGGATCAGCCTGGAGGAATCACACAGCCAAAGTGATGGCTGAGTGCTGCTACACTGAGACAACATGAGGTAGAAGCTACAATTGGATCCAAATTCTGAGTAATAATTTAAAAACCCCAAGGTGAAACAGAAACTAACCATGGACTATTGTGAAGTTAAAAAAAATCTGAAGGAAGCTAAAAACATGACAGTAAAACCCATGGTTAAAACAGCTAAGAAAACCAGTTATGCAAAGATAAAGACCTTTTAAGACCCATCAGTAACTTAAATGAATTTTAGTTCTGAAAAGATGAAGATGGTAAAATTGCTAAAGGGATCAACAAAATGCTGGAAGTGATCAATAAACATTGCCATATGTATTTGATAATGTGGGTAACTGTACTGCAGGAGGATAATGAAATAATGAAAATATATTTCTGAGTAGACCAGACAATATAAAAATAATAAATTTTAGGATTTCGTAAGGAAAAACATAAGCACAAAATCTAGAAAAATGCCCAAGAGAACTGCCTTCAGATATCAGTGGGAGCTCAATGTCTATTTCCAGTGCATATGAGAACCAATAGAAAATTTCTCCACAGCAGGTGTCCCAATATAAAAACATCAACAACTAATTATTGTAGGAGACTTACAAGACTTTTAGTCACGAATTAAATGTAAAAGGAGGTAAATTAATCAGGTATTAATTCACTTCATAATAAGAGTATAATTCAAAGRAGACCAATATGATTAATGCAAATCAACACAGCTTTACAGAAAGCTATTAAACAAACCCGGGATTTATCCTTTGTGTGAGCAGTCACAAGCACAAACTCATCATTTGGGTTTTTACAGGRCACTTCACCTAAAACATGTGACATTCTAGACAAAATAGCAGTGAAGAATATATTTCAGGAATTAAAAATGAGTTAAGTGGAAGCCCTCATATTTTTAGCAATTCTGTCAGTACTTCTCCATTGTTGTCAGTGGAGTGAAGCTCACAGCACTGTCAGTGCTGGTGAACAGCAAATCGTGGTGGGAACGGAGCGATCCAGATCAGTTGGTTCACTGCACTCATTTCTTGGGAACACATTCTCAGGCACATACTTAAAATGGAACAAGTGTTGGCAGAAAGCATGTATGTAAATCCCAGTTAAAAGAAAATTATTTATTCTCAAACTTAAAAAGCTTAATCTTTTTAATCCTTTAAATACAAAAAACAGGCTTAATTCAACTGCAATATAAAGTGCTATACRTTGAAAAGTCTTTCATCTTGAGGATAAGGAAATAAGGACATCAATGTTTAGAAACTAAACCTAAAYATCCCAAATTTCATATTTTAATTTAGCTAGCACTAAAGGTAATAGAATTTGAAACAAGTACAGACAATCCCCTTATCTATTTAAATTCTCATATCAAAACCATATATCTCTGTGCTTTTAGATACAAGTAATGTGCTGGGGGGTGATACACAATAGTTGCAGTACAGAAGTGCTCAGGCTGTAGAAACTAACAGGACCTTCTGTCTCAGGTGGATTTTACCACTCACACAAATGTTATGTAATCAATCTGGCAGCAAGGCAACGTTCTGGAGAAACAGCAAATGTATAGGGTTTTTTTCTCTCTATTTCAGCTTTAGTTATCTGACAGTTAACCCGTCCTCATCCAAACAAGCACGTACTGATTCTTCTCCATACATTTTCAGTGCCTCAAGGAGGCCAGCATGCAATAATCCTTCCTGCAGCATCCAAAGCACTCTGTTTTAAGTCATGACTGATTACATCTAGTCCATCTCCTGTGACAAGTAGGTCATTTTGAAGATGTTAAGATTTTGCCTCGTTTGTTGCAACAGCAGAACACAAAACTAACCACCTTCTAGGGAAAACACAAAGTTGATTTTATTTACCACCTCATAATAATTGCCTCTCTGGCTTACTACCAAGCACTCCACTCCCTCAAAACAGCCTTTGTGCTGTCAGTACATCTTTGACATTTTTTAAAGCAATGGAATGCCGTTCTCAATGGCACACACATCACAGTGTGTGTACTTGCAGCTCAAGTGTTTTCTTTACTTCAGTGGTTTTCCTCAACTCCTCAGTGCCCCCCACCTGTTTGTAGACAGAGTAACTTCAACTCTRTGCTAGTAGCTTAAATATATGAAACTTAAATTGCATTAAAGCGTCTATTCAATGGGGGCCATCAAATCTGCAGAGAGCATAGGGTACTGGAGATGTGGTATTATATAACATCTGAAACATCCCATTGCTCAGGGCAGGATTAATAAAAGCAACAGCAGCCATCCTGGCTGGATTAATCCTGGCTCTTCTCTGCCCTTCCACGGACAGACACCAGGCAAGAAAAGAACRTTTGAAGAACCTGCTGTACCCTCCTTCACCTCAAACCACACCCAGCAGCTGGAAAGCATATCCTGTCTCCCAAGCCCAATTCCACATCAAGTGTTTCCTGCTATGGAAAACCTGCTGTTAGGCAGAAGACTTCATATCCATCTTTTCCAGCAGACTGTTAATACAATGTGCAGCAAGGCCAATTACCTTTCACATGAAATTTAATCAAAGAAGGCACCTCACCCTTAGCAGATTTAAAGTTATTCTGTTCAATTACTGACAAATGTGTCAAATACGTCCCTTAGAGGTCCCAAGGAAATAGGATTATCCATACTGAATATTCATCAGAGAGGAAAAGGAAAGCGTTTCTATTTGCCCAAGAGAATAAAACAATGTCGTGAGAACCGATTTCCAATCTTATCTAATAAAAAGGCAATTTGCCACCAGATCTTTAATACTCATTTGTTAAACTAACCCAGAAACGTACTTATTGGAGTGATAGACTAGAAACAKACAATCAATTTTTACAGAGTTTTAATTATTAAGAAAATTGCACTACGCATTTCCTCCAGATTAAACAAATACCACTAGACAAGCCTGCCTCCGAGATAATAAGCAAACAGCAAGAAACAAGCCACAGCTTTTTCTAAGGCAAACAAAGAAAAAACCTCTTTGTGARCTGGAGTTCTGCCCTTTCCAGTTTGCCCAGACTTGCCCCTTCCCTCGCTGTATGTTCTACCATGTTATTGACATAGCACAAGGAGGGTTTTTTTGCTGACATACTCACACCAGACAAAGCTCCCTTTCATCAAGTGTTCAACCATGCTCCAACACCAGGCTACAGAAAACAGCAATGCCAGACAGCCTTCTATGGCTGGATTAGAAACCACTGCTTCTTAGAGTAGGAATCACAGTATCTCTAAATTAATTCCTTTAACTGGGATATCAATGCTATGAATCTCCATTTAAACCAGCAACACAAAGTTTTATTATGACATCAAACCTGTTCTATTTGATCATTTTACTAAAACTTGTAGCCAACTGGTAAAATAAGGAACTCAAAGCCAGGTTTTCACCTTCCAGAAAAGCCAAGGTAGTAACAGCATTGATGATCATTTTCACTCGAGCTTCCTACATCATGTTAAGTTGCAGTTTTGAACACAAACTCAATTTCCCAATAAACTCAAGCACTTTATTTTTTTTTTTTTTCAATAGATCAAATATTAGAAAAGTACCTTTGCTTCCATTCAGTACCAAAAAACCYACCCAGCTCTACACAGATTAGTCAGCTCTAGACAGGCAGCCAGCAAGCTTTCCTAAAATGAAGTGTTTTGTTGTGATTGGAAATAAAGATGGACGTTCACAGCTACACCTCTTTAACTACAAAGCTTTCTGTAATTATTAGAAATTGAYAGAATAAGCTTTGAAAGCAATGTTAA